GAGGGTAATTCTAGTGAATCACACTTCTGAAGCCAGCTGTGTCGGGAGTCCCCAAGATCTGCCCCTCTCAGTTCAGTGATTTGCTATAAGAACTCAACGGAATTCAGAAATGCTGTTATACTCATTGTCATGGTTTATTACACTGAAAAGATACAGATAAAATCAGCAGAGGTCAGTGGTGCCCAGGACAGAGTCCAGCAGACACACAGCACAGAATTCCCACTGTTGTCTTCCAGTGCAGTCATACAGACAGTGCTGTATTCTCCCAGCCACAGTGTGTGACACATGTACAGGACACTGCCTGTAAGGGACCTCCACCAAGCCCTCATGTTCAGAGGAGTTCTGGGGGGTTGGTCTTGTACGTATGGAGTACTTGAGTGGCTGACATTAGGTACGAAGTCTCCTGCCCCCTCTAGAGGTCAAACTGATACAGGCAGATCCAAGGTCTCTACCATACATCACCTTGTCAGCAAACTGGCATGGCCTAAGGCTTCAGGAATTCAAAGACACTGTTACCAGGCAGAACACTACCAAAGCACACAGCTCATCTTCCAAAAACTGGTCGAGGTCTTGTTCTTTTTTCTTCAAGATACAGAGATGCTGCCTTCCCCAAGCTGATGAGTCGACCCTTTACTGCACAGAGGCTCCCTCAGCCTGGAGGCCCACATTTCAGGCCCAACTCAAGCCAACGCACCAGAGGCGGCAGTCCCACCAGCACCATCACAACAGTGACCTCTTTTCATAACAGTAGACAAAATTCAGCAGGAAAATAATGTTCAATGTAGAATTCTAGGCCAAGCATGGTGGCTTACATCTGTAATCCCAGCACTTTGGGAGGCTGAGGCAGGCAGATCACTGGAGGTCAGAGGTTCAAGACCAGCCTGGCCAACATGGTGAAACCCCATCTCTACTAAAAACACAAAAATTAGCCAGGTGTGGTGGGCGCCTGTAGTCCCAGCTACTTGGGAGGCTGAGGGCAGGAGAATCAAACCCGGGAGGTGGAGGTTGCCATGAACCAGGACTGTGCCACAGCACTCCAGCCTGGGCAACAGAGCAAGACTCCATCTCAAAAAATAAAAAAGAATTCTAGACCCAACCAAACTGTTAGCCACATATAAAGACAGACATTTAAGACATCTTACGTCTCATAAATACCCTCAGATGAGCTGTGACATCTGCAGAAATAACACATTGAAATTCACCATTTGCTGTGCGACATGAAAAACCTGACAAAAACATCAGTCTCAACTTTTTCAGAAGTCTGGAAATTAACTAAAAGCTCATAAATACCCATGAGCATTTATTCAAGAAAAATGGAGGGCCAGGCACAGCAGCTCAGACCTGGAATCCCAGCCCTTTCAGAGACTGAGGTGGAAGGTTCTCTTGAGACCAGGAGTTGCAGACCAGCCTGGGCAACATAGCAAGACCCCGTTTCTACCAAAAAACAAAAAGAAAGAAGAAAAGTGGCTGAAGCTGAGAATGGCAAGCTATGTGGTATTTTAACTTGTTCTGTTCATATACCCCCTCTCCCCAGTTAGGAGACAGACTTGAAACAAGACAGTCTGCATGGCCCCACAGAAACCTGAGGAAGCCCCAGCAGCTGGAGCTTCAAAACCTCATTCCCAAGCCAGACATGATGGTGCATGCATGTAATCCCAGTACTTTGGGAGGCCAAGGCAGGTGGATCACCTGAGGTCAGGGGTTCGAGACCAGCCTGGCCACCATGGTGAAACCCTGTCTCTACTAAAAATACAAAAAAATCAGCCAGGCATGGTTGGTGGGTGCCTGTAATCCCAGCTACTCTGGAGGCTGAGGCAGGAGAATCACTTGAACCCTGGAGGCAGAGGTTGCAGTGAGCCGAGATTGCGTCATTACACTCCAGCCTGGGCGACAAGAGCAAAACTCCGTCTCAAAAACAAAATTATTTGGGCTCAGTGGTGCCTGTAGTCCCAGCTACTTGGGAGGCAGGAGGTCTACTTGAGGTCGCGACTGCAGTGAGCCGTGATCCTGCCACTGCACTCCAGCCTGGGCAACAGAGTAAGACCCTGTCTTTTTTTTTTTTTTTTAAGTCAACATATCCTGAACAAAGGATCCTCCATAACGTTCCCACCAGATTTCTAATCAGAAACATGGAGGCCAGAAAGCAGTGGAGGACGACAGCCCTCAGGCAGCCCTGAAGGATGTTGTCACAGGCTGGGGCAAGGGCCTTCAGGTTACTAACTGGAAGCTCTGGGAACAGCCCTGTTGCAAACAAGAAGCCATGGCCAGGCCGGAGCCCAGGAATGCGGGCTGGGCTGGGATCCAGGCGACAGCTTTGAGGCTCACTGGGAGCAGCCTCTGGACAGGAGAAATCCCACGCAGGAAACCTCAGGCATGGCTGAGAAGCGCAGTACTTGGTGCTGGGTCTGTATGTGTGTGTGTGACAATGCGTGTGCCGAGTGTCAGTGTGAGTCTGTGTGCACGTGAGTACTGTCTTCGTGTGGGTGATTTTGTGGGTGTGTGATCGTGTCCCTCCAAGTGTGGACAAGTGTCTGGGAGTGGACAAGAGGTCTGTGCACCATCAGGGGTGTGCATAGCGTCTGTGCATGTCAAGAGTGCAGTGTGAAGCGAAGGGACCAGGCCCATGGCGCCTCTGATCATCATGAGCTCCCTAAGGCCCCAGGTAAGTGCCAGTGACAGATAAGGGTGGTAAAGGCCACTCTGGAACGGGTAGGTGGGGTAAGGAAAGGGGAAGGCCATGTTCTGGAGGAGGGGTTGTGACCACATTAGGGTGTATGAGCCTAGCAGAGAGGTGGATGGCAGGGTGCAATGAGACCTTGGTTATCCCAGAAGCCTGTGCGGGCTTGAGAAGCTGGGAGTGGGGAGAGGGAGTGACTTCTCCAACCAGGCCCCTCCACCACCCTACCCTGGGTAAGGGCCTGGAGCGGGCAGCAGGGGCAAGGGCCTCTGGAGCAGCCCCTACCCGCCCTGGTCTGACCCTGTACCCACTGGCAGTACAATCAAAACAGCAGGTTGGCTCACAGCAGAGGGCAAAGGCCATGATTAGCTTCCTTTATAAGGGAATGATCACGCACTTGGTGTGCTGAGAGTGTCCTGCCTGGTCCTCTGTGCCTGGTGCGGTGGGGGAGCCAGGTGTGTCCAGAGGAGCCCAGGGGGCAGTAAGGCAGCTATGGAGCTAGATGCACTGGTGCCCCTGGCTGTGATAGTGGCCATCTTCCTGCTCCTGGTGGACCTGATGCACCGGCGCCAACGTTGGGCTGCACGCTACCCGCCAGGTCCCCTGCCACTGCCAGGGCTGGGCAACCTGTTGCATGTGGACTTCAAGAACACACCATACTGCTTCGACCAGGTGAGGGAGGAGGTCCTGGAGGGTGGCAGAGGTCCTGAGGATCCCCCACCAGCAGCAAACATGGGTGGTGGGTGAAACCACAGGCTGGACCAGAAGCCAGGCTGAGAAGGGAGCGGGTTTGGGGGACTTCCAGGGGGAGGGCATTTGTGCATGGTACGAAGGACTGGATTTTCCAAAAACCAAGGAAGAGTAGGGCAAGGGCCTGGAGGTGGAGCTGGACTTGGCAGTGGGCGTGCAAGCCCATGGGCACAATATGTTATGGAGCACAAAGTCCCTTCTGCTGACACCAGAAGGAAAGGACTTACGAATGGAAGACAAGTCAGGGTCTTTTAAAGTCAGGTCTTTAAATCAGGAAATCAAGGATGAAGGGTGTGCAGTGACCTGGTTCAAACCTTTTGCACTGTGGGTCCTCAGGCCTCACTGCTCACTGGCATGGACCATCATCTGTAAAATGGGATGCTAACTGGGGTCTATCGGCAATTTTGGTGACCCTTATAAGGTCATAGCTGGGTGATGCATCCAAACTGAGTTCCTCCATCATAGAAGGTGTGAACCCCACCCCCACCTCAGGATCATGAGGCCAGGTCTCCTCCTTCCACCTGCTCACTCCTGGTATCCCCGGGGGTCGCCCAAGGCTCAAATAGGACTAGGACCTGCAGTCTGGGGGGACCCTGGCTTGACGGAGGCCCTGACCCTCCCTCTGCAGTTGCGGCGCCGCTTCGGGGACGTGTTCAGCCTGCAGCTGGCCTGGACGCCGGTGGTCGTGCTCAATGGGCTGGCGGCCGTGCGTGAGGCGCTGGTGACCTGCGGCGAGGACACAGCCGACCGCCCGCCTGTGCCCATCAACCAGGTCCTGGGTGTTGGGCCGCGCTCCCAAGGCAAGTGGCGGTGGGCACAGAGACCTCATTTCCGTGGGCCCTGGGTGGGCGGTGACCGAAGTCCGAGCTGGGCGGAGAGGGCGCGGGGTCGTGGATGTGAAACATAAAGGCCAGCCAGTGGGGACAGCGGGCCAGGAAACCACCTGCACTGGGGAAATGTGAGCCTGGGGATGAGGGCGGGGCTTGTGACGAGTGGGCGGGGCCACTGCCCAGACCCGCCAGGAGCCAGGTGGGTGAGGATGGCGCCTTTCCCAGCTGGAATCAGGTGTCGACGAGGGGGACGGCGTCAGCGCCTGTGCGTGGAAAGGCGGTAAGGGTGGGCAGAGAAGAGGTGGGGCAAAAACCTGCCCCAGCCAGGGAAGCAAGGCAGGTAAGCAGAGTGGGCCCTGTGCCCAGCTGGACCAGGCGAGGGACTGCGGGAGACCTTGGGTAGCGCTGGGTTGGAGTGGGTGGCAGAGGGTGGGGCCAAGGACTTCATGGCCACTCGCACCTGCCTGTCCTGCCCCTAGGGGTGTTCCTGGCGCGCTACGGGCCCGCGTGGCGCGAGCAGAGGCGCTTCTCCGTGTCTACCTTGCGCAACTTGGGCCTGGGCAAGAAGTCGCTGGAGCAATGGGTCACCGAGGAGGCCGCCTGCCTCTGTGCTGCCTTCACCGACCAAGCCGGTGGGTGATGGGCAGAGGGGCACAAGGCAGGAACTGGGAAGGCGGGGGACGGGGAAGGTGACCCCTGACCCGCATCTCCCGCCCCCAGGACGACCCTTTCGCCCAAACAGCCTCCTGGATAAAGCAGTGAGCAACGTGATCGCCTCCCTCACCTACGGGCGCCGCTTCGAGTACGACGACCCTCGCTTCCTCAGGCTGTTTGACCTAACACATGAGGCACTGAAGGAGGAGTCAGGCTTCCTGCGCGAGGTGCAGAGCGATGGACGCCGGGGTCTCTGCAGGGCGAGCTCCTGAGAAGTGCCAGGGCTGCAGTAGGGCCTCCGAGGAACAGGATTTGCAGAGGGTTTGGGAAAGGACATTCCTAGAGAGTCCACTGCTAGAGGAAGGGCCTGGAGGAGAATGGGAAGTCTCAGACAAGGTCATGGGAGAGGTGTGCCCGGGCCAGGGGGCACCAAGAAAGGCCAAGGACTGTGCCCCCTGTCCATGGTGATTTCGATTTTGGGTTTCTCTTCTGGCAGCCCAGGGCAAGGAGAGAGGGTGGAGGCTGGCACTTAGAGAGGTCAGTGGTGGAGACAGGCAGGCCCTGGGTCTTCCCTGGAGACAGCTGGGGCCCGAGACTGGTCCAGGTGAACACAGAGCACAGGAGAGATTGAGACCCCGTTCTGTGTCTGGTGTAGGTGCTGAATGCCGTCCCCCTCCTCCTGCGCATCCCTGGGCTGGCTGGCAAGGTCCTACGCTCCCAAAAGGCTTTCCTGACCCAGCTGGATGAGCTGCTGACCGAGCACAGGATGACCTGGGACCCAGCCCAGCCACCCCGAGACCTGACTGAGGCCTTCCTGGCAGAGATGGAGAAGGTGAGAGCGGCTGCCACGGTAGGGAGCAAGGGTGGTGGATTGAGCATCCCAGGAGGAATGAGGGGAGGCTGGGCAAAAGGTGGGGCCAGGGCATCCCGGCAAGCAGCATCTGGGCTGATAGGTACAGAATGGGAGGTCATTAGGGGGCTACCCCAATATGTCCCCTGAGCACCCTCTTGGCCCTGCTCAGGCCAAGGGGAACCCTGAGAGTAGCTTCAATGAAGAGAACCTGCGCATAGTGGTAGCTGACTTGTTCTCTGCTGGGATGGTGACCACCTCGACCACGCTGGCCTGGGGCCTCCTGCTCATGATCCTGCACCCGGATGTGCAGCGTGAGTCCAGCTGGGGCCGAGTGCAGGGGGCGAGGGAGGAAGGGTACAGGTGGGGGCCCGTGAACTTAGCTGGGACACCCGGGGCTCCCAGCACAGTCTTGAAAAGGCTCCTGTAAGCCTGACCTCCTCCAACACAGGAGGCAGAGTGTCAGGGCTACCCCCTAGGTGCTGACCCATTGTGGGGACGCATGTCTGTCCAGGCCGTGTCCAACAGGAGATCGACAACGTGATAGGGCAGGTGCGGCGACCTGAGATGGGTGACCAGGCTCGCATGCCCTACACCACTGCCGTGATTCACGAGGTGCAGCGCTTTGGGGACATCGTCCCCCTGGGTGTGACCCATATGACATCCCGTGACATCGAACTACAGGGCTTCCTCATCCCTAAGGTAGGCCTGGAGCCCTCCTCACCCCAGCTCAACACCAGGCCCTGGTGGTAGCCCCAGCATGGCCACTACCAGGTGGGCCCAGTCTAGGAACCCTGGCCACCCAGTCCCTTAATGCCATCACATCAACTGTCCCAGCTTGGTTGTGGGGTCCAGAGTAGAGGCAGGGCTGGCCTGTCCATACAGAACCCCAGTCTAGTGGGGTTCTGATCTGTCGATCAGGACCTGCCAGAATGTCGGACGACCCAATGCCTGTAGGGAGAGGGGGCAGCGTGGGTGCCCCTGAGAGGTGTGACTGCGCCCTGCCATGGGGTCAGAGAGGGTGCCCAGGAGCTTCTCAGGTGCAGGACTAGTTGAGAGTCCAGCTGTGTGCCAGGCAGTGTGTGTCCCCCGTGCGTTTGGTGGCAGGGGTCCCACCATCCTAGAGCCCAGTCCCCGCTCTCACTCTGCATCTCCTGCCCAGGGGACGACGCTCTTCACCAACCTGTCATCGGTGCTGAAGGATGAGGCCGTCTGGGAGAAGCCCTTCCGCTTCCACCCCGAACACTTCCTGGATGCTCAGGGCCACTTTGTGAAGCCAGAGGCCTTCCTGCCTTTCTCAGCAGGTGCCTGTGGGGAGCCCGGCTCCCTGTCCCCTTCTGTGGAATCTTGCAGGGGTCCTGCCCGGGAGGCAGGCTCACTGACACCCCTCCCCTCCCCTCCCCACAGGCCGCCGGGCATGCCTCGGGGAGCCCCTGGCCCGCATGGAGCTCTTCCTCTTCTTCACCTGCCTGCTGCAGCGCTTCAGCTTCTCGGTGCCCGCCGGACAGCCCCGGCCTAGCCACCATGGTGTCTTTGCTTTCCTGGTGACCCCTTCCCCCTACGAGCTTTGTGCTGTGCCCCGCTAGAATGGGGTACCTAGTCCCCAGCCTGCTCCCTAGCCAGGGGCCCTGATGTACAATAAAGCAATGTGGTAGTTCCAACTTGGGTCCCCTGCCCAGGCCCTGGTTGGGAACGTCCTCCCCAGGGCAGTCCCACCCCTGCCTCATTCCTGCTTACCCCACCACCTGGCCGCGTTTGAGACAGGTATGTTGAGGTTGAGCAGATGTCAGCTAGCCTTGCCCATAATCCCATGTCCCCACTGACCCAACTCTGCCCAGATTGGTGACAAGAACTACATTGTTCTGGCATCTGGGGGAAGGAGCCAGAATGGGCTGACTAGAGGTGTCAGCCCTGAGTGTGGTGGAGAGGGCAGGACTCAGCCTGGAGGCCCACATTTCAGGCCTAACTCAGCCCACCCCCCATCAGGGGCAGCGGTCCCGCCAGCACCATCACAACAGTTACCTCCTTTCGTATGTGACACTCCAAAAAGGAAGACAAATCATAGCATCAGGGACTATATGCCAGGGCTACCTCCCAGACCTCAGTCAGCAGGTGCCAGAACGTTCCCTGGGAAGGCCCCAAGGCCCCATGGAAGCCCGGGACTAAGCCACCGTCCTCAGCCTCTGTCACCTCACCACACGACTGGCCACCTCTCTGGGTCCTCAGACATGCCGCTGTCCAGACCCCTGACCAGTGGCAAGTTTGCCCTTGGGGCCAGGCTGGAGCTGGAGAATACTTGCTGGGCTCCAACCCTAGGTGCCATCCTCCCGGTACGGGGTCAGGCAGGGCCCACAGGCTTGGCCAGGGGCCATGCATGAGCCCTGTGGGCCACAGGCCTGCCCTAGGGACAGGAGTCAACCTTGGGCCTATGAGGCACTGGGGCGGGCAGAGGAGGAGGTGGTGGCATGGGCAAGCTGAGAGCCAGAGACCCTGACCCTGACCCTAGTCCTGGCTCTGCCATTACCCCATGTGACCCTGGGCTTCTGTTTCCCTTCTGCCAATGAGAAGGCTGCTTCAGCTGTCCTGAGTCCTGTCTTCCTGCTCTGCCTTCTGGGGCTGTAGCCCTTGCTGGCCTGGAGCCCACCAAAGGCAGGGACCGCTGTCCTCTATGTCTGTCCTCACCGACATAATGGGCTGGGCTGGGCACACAGGCAGTGCCCAAGAGTTTCTAATGAGCATCTGCTTACCTGAGTCCTGGGCAGACCCTCTTAGGGAACAGCCTGGGATAGAGAACCACAGACACTCTGAGAAGCCACTTGAGACCTCTTTTGCCAGAGGACCCTACAGCATCCCTGGCAGCGGTTCCCACCAGCATTTCTGTAAATGACCTCTTGCCAGGGTGCGGCCCGGCTGTCAGCACGAGAGGAACGTTGGTCCATCCCCTGGCACCGAGTCAGTCGGAAGGCCGGCCAGGGCCCCCTTGTCCCTTCCAGAGACAATCCATTGTGGTGAAGTGGCTCGGTGGCAGGAAGTGCTGTTCCTGCAGCTGTGGGGACAGGGAGTGTGGATGAAGCCACACTGGGTCTCTCTGAAGATGGAGGCCCCAAAAGGCAGCAGCAGGGCCTATAGCAGCAGCAACTCTTGGAATTACTGGAAACTTTTTCTTCACAGTTCTGAGTCTTGAGGTTGTTGGAGGCTGAGAGCCAGTCCAGGCAGAGCTCTGTCATGAGCACGGGGAACCAGTCCCAGGGCCTTATGCTCTTTGCTGTCCTCAGAGGCCTCTGCAAAGTAGAAACCGGCGGCCTTTTGAGTCCCCTGCTGGGAGCAAACCTCCCTCTGAGATGCCCGGGGGCCAGGTCAGCTGTGGTGAAAGGTAGGGATGCAGCCAGCTCAGGGGAGTGGCCCGGAGATCCTGCCCACCCAAGGAGGCTCCTAGGAAGGTCCAGGTACCTGACTCCTGGGCTGTTTCCCTCCCCTCCACAGCTCAGGAAGGCGGGAAAGGGCTGGGGTGTGTGTGACCCTAGCAGTCGCTGAGAAGTAGGATGGAAGCAGCGCCCTGCAGCACGCTGGGCCGGTGGTCTTACCAGATGGATACCCAGCAATTTCCTTTTGAACCTTTTTATTTTCCTGGCAGGAGGAAGAGGAACCCAGCAGTGAGATCAGGCAGGTTCTGTGTTACACAGACAGGGAAACAGGCTCTGTCTGCAAGAAGTCGGTGGAGCCAGGATGAGGCCCAGTCTGTTCACACATGGCTGCTGCCTCTCAGCTCTGCACAGATGTCCTCACTCCCCTGGGACAGCAGCTTGGCCTGCTGGTCTTGAGGTTGAGCCAGTCTCCAGTACTGCCCCGCTGCCTCCCACTCTGCAGTGCTCCGTGGCTGCTCAGTCGGACCCATGCTGGAGACATTCCAGTTGAAGCCCCGGGCTGTCCTTACCTCCCAGTCTGGGGTCCCTGCCACCTCTTCTTGCTCAGCAGGAATGGGGCTAGGTGCTTCCTCCCATGGGGACTTCACCTGCTCTCCCTCCTAAGACAAGACAGCAGCCTCCTCGGGGGCAGCATCATTCAGTCCTCCAGGTCCCCTGGGGATCATGACCTGCAGGAGGAATAAGAGGGCAGACTGTGGGCAGAAAGGCCTTCAGAGCACCTCATCCTCCCGTTCTCACACTGGGGTGTCGCAGTCCTGTGAAGTTCTTCCTTTTCAGTTGAGCTGTGGTAACCTTGTGAGTTTCCTGGAGGGGGCCCGCCACTACCCCCGGGACTCCCTGCCATGTGTCTGGGTCTAACTGAGCTCTGATAGGAGAGAGCCCCAGCCCTGAGCCTTCCAGGGGAAGCCTTACCTCAGAGGCTGGCTTCTTCCTACTCTTGACTTTGCGTCTCCACAGAGGGAGGTGGGAGGGGTGACACACAGCTATGAGTGGCGAGCAGTCCTTCCCTGACTGGCCCATCCTCTCCAGGTGCAGTCCCCCTTACTGTGTCAGCCAAGGGGGCCAACATAGCCACCGCACTCCAGGGGTAGAAGAGTGCCAGCCCTTACCCACCTGAGTGGGCACAGTGTAGCATTTATTCATTAGTCCTCACACTGGCCTGACAGTCTCCCCTATGGGCTGCATGACAAGGAGAGAGAAAAGGCTGAGGTGAGATCTGTCAACACCTCAACCTAAAAAATCTATAATTGAACCGGCCACAGTGGCTCATGCCTGTAATCCCAGCACTTTGCGAGGCGGAGGCGTGTGGATCCCCTGAGGTCAGGCGTTCAAGACCAGCCCGGCCAACATGGTGAAAACCCCGTCTCTACTAAAAGTACAAAAAATTAGCTGGTCGTGGTGGCGGGCATCTGTAATCCCAGCTACTTGGGAGGCTAAGGCAGGAGAATTGCCTGAACCTGGGAATTGGAGGTTGCAGTGAGGTGAGATCACGCCATTGCACTCCAGCCTGGTCAACAAGAGTGAAACTGTCTTTTTAAAAAAATCTATAATTGGGCCGGGCGCGGTGGCTCAAGCCTGTAATCCCAGCACTTTGGGAGGCCGAGACGGGCGGATCACTAGGTCAGGAGATCGAGACCATCCTGGCGAACACGGTGAAACCCCGTCTCTACTAAAAAAAATACAAAAAACTAGCCGGGCGAGGCGGCGGGCGCTTGTAGTCCCAGCTACTTGGGAGGCTGAGCCAGGAGAATGGCGTAAACCCGGGGGGCGGAGCTTGCAGTGAGCTGAGATCCGGCCACTGCACTCCAGCCTGGGCGACAGAGCCAGACTCCGTCTCAAAAAAAAAAAAAAAAAAAAAAAAAAAAAAAAAAAAAAATCTATAATTGATATCTTTAGAAAGATAAAACTTTCCATTCATGAAATAAGAATAGGAGGCTCTAAAATAAAAATGTTCAAACACCCACCACCACTAATTCTTGACAAAAATATAGTCTAGATGCTGCAGCTCATGCCTGTAATCCCAGCATTTTGGTAGGCTAAGGCAGGAGGACTGTTTGAGCCTAGGAGTTCAACATCAGTCTGGGCCACCTAAGACCCTGTCTGTACAAAAAATTGAAATACTAGCTGGGTGTGGTGGCACACACCTGTAGTTTCAGCTGCTTGGGAGGTTGAGGCAGGAGGATCACTTGAGTCTGGGAACAAGGCTGCAGTGAACTATGATCCTGCCACTGCACTCCAGCCTGGGCAACAGAAAGAGACCTTGCCTTAAAATAAAAATAACATAATCATAGGAATGCAAAATCTAATCAAAGTATACAAGCTAAACTTGAAAACAATATTTTCCAGAAAGAACAGAGAAGAGGTCAGGAGCTCCAACAGCTAAATTGTTTAGATGTTTCTGAAAGAGGCAGCAGAGACAACAGACTAGGAGGCAGGGAGAGATGTCAAATAAATACATTTCTTTTTTGTCAAGACAAGTTCTCAGAGATGAAGAACATGAGTTTCCAGTAGAGAAGGAAACATCAACTGTTCAGGACAATGAATGAAGGGGACTCGCCCCTGATTTTGTTGTCAAGAAATTTCACAGCACCGAGGACAGAGCGGAACCTAAACACTTGCAGAGATACAAACAAAAAAGTCTGAGCTTTAGGAATTCAACATTCATCAGACTTCTCCACACCAACCTTTGAAGCTATAAGATAATGAAGACCTTCAAAATCTGAGAGAAAATATTTCCAATCTAGAATTCTATACCTAGCCAAATGCTATGCAAGTATGAATTGAGATCTTTTCAGATACATGTCTCAAAACTACCCCTCAGGAAGCAACTGGAGGTTGTACTTTACTAAAAGGAGAAACGGAAAAGAAGATAACATGGGACCCAGCACAACAGGCAGGGAGAGCCCCTGAGCATAAGGGTGAATGGGGAGCTCAGGAGGACAGCTAGGCAGCAGACCTCCAGGGTGCCCCATCCAGATGGAATCAGGGAGATGGAGGGCTCCTGAGATACGTCTCCATGAAAATGATCATATGGACAAATGACCTGATCTGTCTAAATGTATTGCAAAAGAGATTTCTATTTTTGGCAGAAAATCTGAATGAATGAATTATATAATAGATGCACAGAAAACTAAAGAAAGAGAAGAAAAACCAAAATCATGACTTAACTGGGACTACTGTCTACATTTTTTGTTTTGAGAAAGTCTTGCTCTGTTGTACAGATTGGAGTTTTTTTGAGATGGAGTCTTGCTCTGTCACCCAGGCTGGAGTGTAGTGGCATGATCATGTTTCACTGCAGCCTCCACATCCTGTGCTCAAGTAAGTGACTCTCCCACCTCAGCTTCCTTAGTAGCTGGGATCACAGGGCACCACCACACCCAGCTAATTTTTTTTAACAGACAGTGTCTCCCAATGTTGTCCAGGCTGGTCTCAAACTCCTGGACTAAAGCGATCCTCCCACGTTGACCTCTCAAGTAGCCAGGACTACAGGCATGAGCCACTGTATTTTTCCGATTTTTTTTTTTTTTTTTTTTGTACAGAGTCACACTATGCTGACCAGGCTGGTCTGGAACTTCTGAGCTCAAGTGATCCTCCTGCCTTGGCCTCTCAAAGTGCAGAGATTATAGGCGTGAACTCTCACGCCTGGCCTGTTTACATAGTTTAATAACATAAATCTTCGATACTGATCTAATAAAAATCGAAATATGCCTTTTAGAATGGCTTTCAAAAAGAACAAATGCTGGAGAGGATGTAGAACAACTGGAACCTCTTGGTTATTGCTGATGAGACAGCCACTTTGAAAAAGTTTGAGTTTCTTACAAAATTAAACTTACACTTACTATATGACCCAAAAATTCCACTGCTAGCTCTTTACTCAAGTGTAAGGAAAATCTATGTTCACACAAAACTTGTACATGAATATTAACAGTGATTTTATGCCCCAAACTAGAAACAGCCCAAATGTTCTGGCACATCCAAACAATGGACCACCACTCAACAATAAAAGGAACAAACTACTGATATACATGACTAGATGAATCTCAAATGCTTTGTGCTAAGTAAAATAAACCAGACTGAAAAGGCTACCATACATTTCCATTTATATGACAATCTTCCATTTATATGACAATCTTGCAAAGGCAAAACTACAGGAACAGGAAACTGTTCACTGATTGCCAGGGTGTGGGAGTAGGAGGAAGGGTTGACTACAGGTGACTATTGAGGATTTTTTTTTTTTTTTTGAGGCGGAGTCTCTGTCGCCCAGGCTGGAGTGTACTAGCGCAATCTCGGCTCACTGCAACATCCACCTCCTGGGTTTAAGGTATTTTTAGTAGAGACGGGGTTTCACTATGTTGGCCAGGCTGTTCTCAAACTCCTGACCTTAGGTGATCCACCTGCTTTGGCTTCCCAAAGTGCTGGGATTACAGGCGTGAGCCACCGAGGCCAGCCACTTTTTTTTTTTTTTTTTTTTTTAAGACAGAGTCTTGCTGTGTCACTCAGGCTGGAGTGCAGTGATCACTGCTCACTGCAGCCTCAACATCCCACACTCAAGTGATCCTCTCACTTCAGCTTCCTGAGTAGCTGGGACCACAGGCACACGCCACCACGCCCAGCTACTTTTTAATTTTTTTTTGTAGAGACAGGGTCTCACTATGTTGCCCAGGCTGGTCTTGAACTCCTGGGCTCCACCAATCCTCCTGCCTTGCCCTCCTAAAGTGTAAGTGAGTCACAGTGCCCGTCCCTTAGATTCTCTCTTTAACCTCTAACTCCACCCTGTCTTCCTCACATTCAGCAGAGAACACAGGCACCATCAGATGGGCATTTCCTCAACTTTCGGCCACCAAACCCATTCACTCACCGGCTTCTCATGGGCCATTTCCTCTTCCAGGGGGGGAAAAGAGGAGGCTGCCCTCCTGTCTCCGAAGCTAGCCTTGCTCCTGTGCCCCATTTCATCTGGTCTTCTCACCTGGGCATTTGGGGATCTCGTCTCACCTCAATATTCTCCTTTTCCTTTTTTCTGGCTCCTTCCATCAGCATCTAAACACATTGCTGATCTCTTCCATTAAAAAGAAAAAAGCCCTTCTCCCTTGAATCCATATTCCTTCTCCAGCTACTGTCCTAACTGACCCCCTACCCTTCACACCAGTCTCCTGAAAGTGGTGTTGGCAGGGGGTGTATTTACTGCTTTCTACCTCTCCCGCACTCCACAATCCACTTCAACCTGTATCTGTCCCTATAAGCCTCTGAAACCCCCTCACTAAGGTCACCAATACACTCCTAGTCACCAAACCCAGCTGACCCTTTCTTTTTTTTTTTTTTTTGAGACAGAGTCTTGCTCTGTCACCCAGGCTGGAGTGTAGTGGCATTATCTCAGCTCACTGCAAGCTCCGCCTCCCGGGTTCATGCCATTCTCCTGCCTCAGCCTCCCGAGTAGCTGGGACTACAGGTGGCCTGCCACGAGGCCTGGCTAATTTTTTTTTTTAATTTACTTACTAGTAGAGATGGGGTTTCAATATGTTAGCCAGGATGGTCTCGATCTCCTGACCTCATGATCCGCTCCCCTCAACCTCCCAAAGTGCTGGGATTACAGGTGTGAGCCACCGCGCCCGGCCCCAGCTGACCCTTTCTTTAACGACCTCGCCTTTTCTCTTGGCTGGTTGACCTCTCA